ATCTTTGTGGTTGTTTCTGTTGCTGCTGTTCCTATGGTGTTGCAGGGTCACAACCAGTGGTGTTTAGATGCCGGGAACTTTGCCTGGCAGTGCTTGGAAGATACACAGGGCTAGGAATGGAACCCAGAGCCTCACACATGGCAAGGCATATGTGCTCCTACCACTGAGCTGTGTTCAGGGCCTTAAATCCAATCTTGTGCTGAGTGGATATATACCTTCATAAAATTGAGTTGTGGGAATAGCTAAATGAAACAATTCTGGAAATTATGAGCATAGAGATATAAGGGTGGTGAGAGCACAAGCCATGGAGATCATTTTGAATCATTTGAAGCATTTGAAGCATTTGAGTCAGTTGGAGATCATTTTGAAGCACTGTTCATAGGGACTATGATTTGCATTGATTTTGGTGAACACCTAAGAGCTCACTTCTTTGTAATTCAGATTAAGTTGTTTGCTGAACCTCAGTTTATGTAATATGAGATAAGTGGGGTAAATTGGGTGAAGGAGGGTGAAGAAAGACTTTACCTTGTGACAAAAGAACTATTTTCTTTACTAATATATCCAGGCATAGGATCTGTCCCTCACTCAAGAGTTCCTTTTCTGTCCTATCCTTGATATTGTGGTGCTTGGCAATTTCCTACACAAGAAGTTTGTCAACACAGCCATCCACACAGCAGTATGTGCAGTTTGACCAGGGACCAGTCAGTCCTCACACTAAGATGCTGACTGTGAAAATCAGAAGGGTCAGCCTGAACGGTGTATAGAAAAAGAAGCAGGACTTGGGATAAGTTAACTTGCCCCTGTGGTGTAGTAGCACTGTGTTTGGTATGCAGGAGAAAAAATAGAAGAGATTGATGGCGTGGGGGGCAGTCCTAGTAATGGGAATGAGGGAGGGCATAGATTTTCAAAGCAAAGCTTCTTGAGGCAGCCAGGGGATCATTCCAGCTGGTTCTTGGGAAATACAGTAAATGGGCAGAATTTCAAATACAGCAAATGGCCCCCTCTTCCACCTTGTTTCCTTCCTCTTCGCCCCTCTCTCAACTGCTGTTGGCTTTCTGGCCTCGCCATGCCCCCTGCCCCGTTTATGCAGTTTTCAACTGTGCCCTCCCAGGAATATCCTGGGAGCCCACAGGGGCCATATGGAAAGTTGAAAAGTATTGTTCATTTAGGGAAAGATACGTTAAATTGCCCTTATAGAGTCAAAATCTAAATTGCAAAGAAACAGCAAAAGCATGAGGTTTAGTGGATACAAGCTAAGAGTATGTCTCAAGGGAATGGCCAAAGGTCTGAGCACATTCTCTGCATGCAGAAGAACTTGCTTCGGGGCTGGAGAGATAGCACAGCGGGGAGGGCGTTTGCCTTGCAGGCTGCCGACCCAAGTTCAATTCCCAGCATCTCATATGGTCTCCTGAGCACTGCCAGGAGTAACTCCTGAGTGCAGAGCCAGGAGTAACCCCTGTGCATCACCAGGTGTGACCCAAAAAGAAAAAAAAAAAGAGGAAGAACTTGCTTCATTTCCTGGCACTGCATGGTTCTCTGAGCACTGCCGGGGATAGCCTCCAAGAGTCTGGATGTAGCCCCCAAACACACACACACACACACACACACACACACACACACACACACATACACACACACATCTCAAGGGACTGAACACAAATAATCAATACTGAGGGACTATTCACCATGAGAAGGAGAATAAAAATACAAAGAGGCGGAATCACAGAGGTTTGGGAAGTTCTTTAGAAACTCGTACTCGGGGAGCCCTGGTCTGTGGAGACGGTATGTCACGTGGGGGAGCTGGTGGGCCACCCATTGTGTGGACAAAGGCATGTCCACAGGACTCTCCCTTGCCAAATCAGATAGTCAGACCTGCATAGTTGAGTTATGAGAATCGCATAAAAGGAATTGTGAGGAGCACATTCCTGTTCGTCCCCAACGCCTTGCCCGGTTTTCTCCCTCTCCCAGGCTCATAGATAAACTGACTTTCATTTACTCTCAATTTTCACTTGTTTATTCATAGTCATAAAACTGAATCTGATATAGATTCCATATAATTTGTTTGTGAAATTCCACAAAGTGAGGGAAACTGACTTATTGTTTTAAAAATAAAATAATGCATTTGTCATTAAAAAAAAGGAATTGTGTAACAAGTTAGTGTCCAGCACTAAAAATGAACATAAGAAATGGATGTTTTTATTGTTAGGGCCAGGGAGTAAAGGGATCATTCCAAGAAGTCAACATCATTGTCAGATACGGTGTTTTTTTTAATCAGATACATTTTAAAGACATTGAAAGAGGCAGTTTAAGGAAAGATTACTGAGTGTGAGAAATTTTTACTTTAAAAAAAATGGTATATTTTGAACAGTAATTTTTCTGGTTTTCATGTAGTTCTCTGTTGGTTCCCCAAATTTTCATTTAGAATTGAAAAAACACTGTTTTGATCCTCATACTTCTACTTTGTTTTACTGAACTGGACATTGGGAACTTGGCACTAGTCATTTCATTTCCTGTGCCTTCAGTTAAGATGACCTCTGCCCCCATTCTCTGGCAGCTGCAGGACTCAGGAATTCTGGTTACTCTTTAATGCTGCCTGAGTGCTTTTGGTTTAAGTATTGAGACGGTTAAAGTTTCACTGACTGAGAAGTTTTCTCTTTTGCTTTTGTGAACATTAGTCTGCTATGATTCATTAATTTCACAATTGTCTTAACAGGTAAACAAGAATTGAATTTCAGTTATGTTAAGTTCTGTGTTTTCCAAAGTAATATCAAAGGAGAAGGTGGGTGAAAGTACAAGAGGAACTATTATGTAATATTTGTTTTACTTTCTATTCAGTATTAAAATATGTAGGAATTCAAAAGAAACAATTAGAATATTAGATTACTTAGGGATAGAATGCTTAATAAGAAATGTTTAACCTTTTAAAAATAATTTTTTTGGGGGCAGGGGTTCATACCTAGCACCGCTTGGGTGCTATTCCAGGCTTGGTGCTTACAAGGGTGATTCCCAGCAGTGCTGAGGGACCTTGTGGTGCCAGGGATCAAACCTGGGGCTCCCACATGCAAGACATGTAAAACATGCACTCCAGCCCTTTGAATTCTCTCTGAACTTTTCATTTTTTTCTACTGTTGTTAGCCACTTAAATAAGTGGTGAGGAACTAGGGAAATAGCACAAGGGTGAGGGACTCATTCATTGCATGCTCCCAACCTGGTTTGATCCCCGGGACCCCATGATCCACTAAGCATCAGGCACAGGTATATGGCACATCACCTGAGCACTACTGGGAGGCCCTGGTAGTCCCTGATGCCATAGGGCAGAAGCAGTTCTACATCCTCAGGCTGTAACATTGAGTGAAGAGCCAAGTATGGCCTGGAGTGGCCCACAGGCCTGCAGAGTAATGTTTGAGAGGACTCAGACATTGGGGCTCTTGGGCCACAGGTTTTAACAAAATAAGAAAGAACCTGATTGAGTTAGTAGCCATCCCCAAATCTATCCTTCAGTTGCTGTGGCCCAACATTGACCAATTTCAGTTCTCTGAACCTCCTGATTTCTCCTCCTATCTGTGGTACAAGTTGTTCCATTAGGCTAATACGCAGATGGATTTATTTTTTCTCTGCAGTTCAGCTCAAATATCACTTCCTCGAGGAGCGTCTGATTCACCTCCCCCTGGGGAGATCAGATTCCATTCTCCTGAAACCCTGCTCTTCTCCCTCACTGCGAACATTTCTCTTCATGGCCTGCTCCATGAAGGGAGGGATCACATTTAGCTTATTCATGGTTCTATGCCAAGTGCCAAGAGCAACGTATCTAGTAAGTGCTTTTATCAAACACAAAACGCTTTCTCCATGAGCTCCTTCAAAATAAGCCTTTTTAATTTGATTCCCGTGAACAGATCAAGAAAGTGAGAGCAGAGAAGTCATAGTCAGAAGTAATAGTGAGCAAATAACAGTCACTTAACCTAGATCACTGATTTTCATTTTCCTCCTTCCATGTGTCATCTTTTATTTTTTTCCTTTTTATCAGATACATTTTTAAATATTCGATATGCCAAACACAGTAACAACAAGTCTCATGATGGAGACGTTACTGGGCCCACTCGAGCAAATCGATGAACAAGGGGAGGACCGGACCGTGATTTTAAATATGAGAAAAGATGCCATGTAAGTTGATACATATTTTACCGTCTATCTGTTGTCATTTTGCATAGACTTAGCTACTTTTCCAGGCTTTTGGAATGATTGATGAATGAGTGAACATACAGTCATAAATGTATGTTCTCTGGGTCCAAGGAGAAAAGCAGTGAGAAGGTCATGTTGTAGCAATAACAGTCAAAGGGGTTTTGCAGTTCGAGAACTCAGGACTTCTAAAACTTCCTCAGTCGTTGGTGTAATGTAAGAAACTGTACCTCATGGTGTTTCACTAATAAAAATTTTTTTTAAAAAAGAGAGAAACTTCACATATTCTATCTCTGGTCCTCAGTGTTGTCTCTAGAAAGTGAGGATAATATTTCTCATTCTACTAGGCTAGAGGAACTTGCTGAGAACCTGGACTTTGACATTACTACTTTTCCATCCATCGTGGACTTGTTCTTCCAATGTGTATTTCACCAGGCCAGCCTGTAACTTTTCCAATTATTTGGTCGAAAGGCTGCCCTAGGCAGCAGTACGGTGGGAAGATGAGACTTTGTGAGAAGGTTCATGAACTCGAGATCAACTAACACCATTGCAACATTCAAAGGTAGCACAGGAAGCCACCCTACCCTACATATTCTACTCTACAGATTTCACAAAGTGGTCTTTGTTCTTCTGTTCTTCAAAAGCCTTTCTGAGTTTTCCAAATGTGCATTTGCTAAAATCTACTCGCTAAGTTAATACCTACCTAGCTGTAAGAAGAAATATCTACCTAGCTGTAAGAAGAAATATCAAACAGTTAAATTTCCTTTAAAGCCATTAAAGGAACGCTTTCTTAGAAATATTAATAATAATGAAACCAAGCCAGCAAAGATATAAACCATTTATTATATTTCCATGTCTAAATTGTATATGAATTAGTTGATTTGATATTTATAATAAAAACATGCAAAATAACCTCAGGAAATATAATGATAATAAAATACATGTACTCTATTACTGAAAATAGATATTTTTGTGGTTCTGAGGTTCTATTCCGGGGCCTCACACATGCAAAGCCTCACACCACAATTCTACCTCTGAGAACACCCCAGCCCCTGAAAATCTTGCTCGCCTGTGATGATTTTTAAAAGGTTTGGATAGTTGCAAAAATAACAAAAATGTCAGCTTGAGACAGGAATAGAAACTTGATCACAATAATCCCCCCAAATACTTGTTTACTTCTTTACAGGCTCACAGACAGCCTGTCCCCTTTTTAAGAGCTCTTACATAGCTCCTAATAGAGAATACTTAATTACATAGGTTTTTCTAATTACAGTGGGCCCTTTCTTACCTGCAATCTACCATACTCAACAAAGTATATGCTATAAGGAAAAAGGATCTAAAAAACCTTAATTGCCTCAAATAGTCTTAAGTGTATAATAAAGCGACAAGTACAATCTTTATCTTAAGAACTGAAGGCTGATTGGCCGGAGCTCTATCACAGTAGGGCACTTGACTTGCATGTGGTCAACCTGGGTTTGGTCCCCGGAGTTGCTCCAAGAGTGATCCCTGAGCAGAGGCAGGAATAAGCCCTGAGTGCCGCCAGCTATGACACCCAAACAAACAAGCAAATAGAAGGCTAAATTGCAGGAAAACAAACTTCAATAAATGGTAGAATAAAAGATACAACAAAGCAGGCCTTGCTGTGACTTTCTGGGACATGAATTTTGAGAGCCAGCCTACAGATACTAAGAATAGCAAATAGATTCAGATTCTTTTTTTTATTTTCTAATGAAGCAAAGGTTTTTTTGTTTTATTTTTAAGCACAAAGCTTTAATGGAATGAAACTTACTTAGGAAGATGCAGAGGGAGGATAAAGGGACAGGGAAAGGAATATATATTCAAGATAGAGCACAAGCTTTTCCAGCGTGGAAAAAGCAAGCAGAGACCCATGGAGACAAGCAAGCGAGAACACAGGCTTGAAGATCAAGTATCAGTTTTCTTTATAAAAATATTTGTTCTACTTGTATGTGTGTATGTGGATGATTTGGATTATCACCTGTTAACATTGTTTTTATTTGGCTTGTAAATTATTAAGATATTTTTACTTCTTTTTTTTTATTTGCGGGGGTGGTTCATGGGGTTCTAGGCATGAGACCTGGGGCTCCAACTTGCAAAGGAGGTACCCCAGCCCTTTGAGCTGTCTCCCTGCCTGGTCCCTGCATCTCTCCTTACAAAATAGTCTTTTGAGTTATTCGACTTGTTAGTATCAAGCTTCCAAAGAGGGGACAAAACTAAAATCTGTTGAATAACAATTCAAGTAAGACACCTGGAAAATTTTGAAATTATTCAATAAAGTCAGTTTGGGGATAAATGATAGAATTCAGCTATGGAAGCTCATTCTGCTTTTTCAGAGAATTCAAAGGTGTTTTCTGTTTTATTCTGTTTTTGATTCTTGAGGGGAGACAATAGAAAATGGCTGGGAAGATTACAATGTAAATTTTAGGGATATAATTCAACTTTACCTTCATAACAAAAATAACCAAACCAGGGTTTTCTTTCTGCCAACTAGCCTTTCGTGTTAAGCTGAACCCTTAAGTGATTGAGCCGTTCAGCCCCGCACCCCTGTGCGTGCTATTTCACAGCATATCCGCAAATGTGAGGACGCACCAACTCCCAGGATAGGGGGGCCTGTAAGTGCTGCAGCTTAAGCTTAGAGAAACCCGCTCTCTCCAGGCTTTTCCAGCTCTCTCTGGTCAGGTTACATCCATCAAAGAGAAGGTTCCAGGTCGGATCCAGGACCTGCTGCCAGAAGTAATTCCAGGTGGACCGTTCGGCTGCTACATGCTCCATAAAATAAAAAGCGCCTCCCTGAGAAAGAAAGAAAACACGTCAAGGATTTTAATTTTAATGGGGGAAAACAGATCTAGAAAAAATAAATTTAAAAATTCAGATTCAGATTTCAGTGGCTCCAGAGACCACTTCACGAGAAGACAGGGATAAATGAAACTTACTAAGACACCTTCTGGTCCTTACTTGAGACATCTGCCAACTTTTATAGAGAGCTGCAAATCTAAAACAATTCACTTAGTTCTCATTATAAAAGGAATATAGCTCATAGCTAGAACATAAAGTAGTTCCTGAATTCAAGATGCTATTCTTTTGGTGGGGGCTGGGAGGGTGGTTTGGGGCCACACCTGGTGATCTCCAGGGCTTTTTCCTGGCTCTGAACTCAGAGATGAGCCTGGCAGGGTCTGGGGGACCATCTGTGGTGCCAGGAACCCAGTTGGTGATGGTAAGCCTCATGCAAGGCAAGCACCCTACCTGCTGTACTACCTCTCCAGCAGTATATTATTACAGTATTATTTAAAATTTTAATTTCTTTGTGATTTTGAAGCATGTACAAATGTTTTGGCTTTGTTTTGGCTTTGGGCTATTATTGGGTCAGGCCGAAGAGTTTGCTTCCGGCAGTGTTCGGAACACTTAGTGATGAGGCCGGGGCAAGAACAAGCTGTTCTGCATGTTCCACCCTGGAGCCATCGCCTCAGCTCCTGGGGCCACCCTTAATGCCGATCCCATGTTAACTCAACTCACTTCATCCTCACACTAGACTTTATTATTATCGTTCTATCTTTATAAATGAGGAAACTGAGTCACACAGAAAATAAGTAAAGTTCCCAAGGTCACAATCTTGCAAATATGAGAATCAAGATTCGAAACCAGATGGTCTGGCTCCGGAATCTGGCAATACTGCCTCACCGATATGTTTGTTTTAGAAAATTTAGAAAACACAGGAAAGTTTATAGAGGACAAACAATCAACCACCATGACACTGGCTCGTGATAATTACTGGTTAAGATTTTTTTCCTGAGACTGAGAGGTAGTCCAGGGTAAGGTGGTTGGCTTGCCTGGGTCCTACCACAGGACAATCCCCAGCACTGCTGTAGTCCCAGGAGCCCTGCCAGGAGTGATGCCTGAGTACAGCCAGGAGTGGCCCCTCAGCCCTTCGGAGTGTAACCTCCATGGCAAAAGTAATTAATTCTTTTTTTTTAAAAAAGACTGGGTGCAAGAATGGCCGAAATTAGTACCAGGAATTTTACTCCATGGCTTGGAGGCCAACCACACATACTAGGGGAAAAGGGAGTTCAGACAAAGAAGGGAACACCAAATAAAGGTGTTGGGAGGATCCTCCCAGGATGGGAGAAGCATACGGAAAGTTGACTACAGACTAAACATGATTGTCACCCATTGCCTCTTTTGCAAACCAAACACCCAATAAGAGAGAGAGAACAAAAGGGAATGCCCTGCCACAGAGGCAGGGTGGGATGAGGGGATGGGGGGGGGGAAGGGTGGGAGGGATACTGGGATCCGTGGTGGTGGGAAATGGGCACCAGTGGAGGGATGGGTATTTGATCATTGTATAATTGAAACCCAAGCACAAAAATGTGTAAGTCTGCAACTGTACCTCATGATGTTTCACTATTAAAAATTTTTTAATAAAAAAAAAATAAATAAAAGACTGGGTGCATACTTTATCTGACTGAATTCGTGTTTCTAACACCAGATACTATACATTATGTTTCACTGATGTGTTTTAAAATTACCTAAAACATTGCTTTATGATATATCATGTGAGGTGTTAATGTTTCCAAACATATAAGCAACTTACCCCTCAACACACATTCACAACAACCTAAATCCTAAGTAGGCAAAGAGAAGGACAAGCACCAGGCAAGCTCCTTCATCTGTGATGTCCAGGGGAACAAGACAAGGAAATAGATAACATCGATTGCTAACAAACTCTGGATGCGGGAGTACAAACCAAGAATACCAGGTGAGGGGAGGACAGGTGGAGAGGAGAAGACACTGGAGCATAGGTGGGGTGGTGTCATGGGCACTTGGGTGGTGATGAAGTGAGTTGTGTCCACCAAGACTGACTGTCCACACCATTGTAAACACTTTACCTTAATTCTAATAATTTTTTTAAAAAATGTTAATGGATCTAATTTTAAGGATTTTTAAGGCTCTAAACTGTTCACCAAAGAAGATGTAAAGATGGCTAGTGTCTCAATGAAAAGATATTCTTCACTGTTTATCACTAGAGAAAGGCAAATCAAAACTACCATGAGAAAAATGTATTGAGAATGTAGAAAGAGGAGAACCCTCGTGCATTATTGGTAGGGATGTCAATTGGTTCAACCACTATAGAAGAGAGTATGGACATTCTTCAAAAATATTAAATCTAGATAATACAGCAGGTAAGGTGCTTACCTTGTAAGTGGCTGGCCTAGATTCAATCCCCTGGGACCCCTGAGCACTGCCAGGGTGATTTTGGAACAGAGCCAGGAGTAAGCTTTATTTTTATTTACTTATTTATTTTTTGCTTTTTTTTGGGGGGGGGCGGGGAGGTCACACCTGGTGATGCACAGGAATTACTCCTGGCTCTGCACTCAGGAATTACCCCTAGCGGTGCTCAGGGGACCGTAAGGGATGCTGGGACTCGAATCCGGGTCGGCCGTGTGCAAGGCAAATGCCCTACCTGCTGTGCTATCGCTCTAGCCCTGCCAGGAATAAGCTTTAGAAGCACAAAACCCACCCAGGGTTCAATCTCCAGCACCACATACTACCCTCTAAGCACTGCCAGGAGTAATCCCTGAGGGTAGAGCCAGGATAAGCACTAAGGACAGCTGCATGTGGACACCAAACAAAGGACAAGAGGTTGTAGCAAATTTACATACCTATGAACAATCATTATGAAGGGCCATTTCCAGTAAACAAACATCAGTACCCCAGTGTTTATCATTTTCATGGGTCAAATTTTCTTTCCTGAGTTGGGATGTGGTTCAAGTCACAGAGCACATGTCTTGCTTGTACAAGGGTCCAAAGGGTCTGGGTTCAACCACCAGGTGTGATTTCCCGCCCCCCCCAACAGAACTTTTTATGTTGTTGTAAAAAATATACATATCTTTAATATTACTAGCACATTTCTTCTTTTCTGGTTTGTCTTGTGGTATCTTTGATAAGTTTACCACAGGAGTCTTGCTTTTTTTAGAAAGGATACTTTGGATATAATCATGAATATTACACATATTTTCCCTAGCCTGTTGTTTTTAATGGCATTTTAAAAGCCTTTTAATTCATCTCAAGTTGTCCTCAAACCTGTGGAAGGACCTGATGTCTCCAGCAGGAGAGTATAAGTAGCAAATGTAGTTGAAATGTCAGAGCAATCAAAAGCCCACTGGTAAGCACTGTAGTGCAGGGTAAAATAATACCTGGAGTAGGGGCTATATAGTTATATAGTTCAGCTATATAGTTCAGCAGACAAACACCTGACTCAGGTTTGATCTCTGGCACCCCATAGGAGTGATTCCTGAGTGCAGAGCCAGGAGTAAGACCTGAACACATCCCGGATTGCCCCCCTCCAAAAATAAGACTACTTGAAGTGAATAACGTCAGATCTACTAGCTGTGCAACGCCAGTCAATTTCTTAACCTCTCTGAATTTTGTTTTCTTAGCGCACCATGAAGGTAACAGTGGAGTAAAAGATTTGCTGTGAGGGTTACAGAAGAATATAATAAAGATCCTGGATATATTCTGCAGCTGTGTCACAGCAGCTAAAGAAGACTACTAAGAATACGGTCCCCTTGGAAGTATTTTCAGTAGAGAAGTAGCTACTTAACCCTTGTAGATGTTGTAAGACTGGAATCACTGTGGGCAAAACTAGGAGTGCCAAGTTAGTGCACACTGTTTAAACTTAAGAACTCAGTTTTTGGGCATGCGAATCACAGCTTTCTCATGGACTCCTTTGATATTGCCTCGAGCCAAAGAAAAATTTACACAATTGCCTCTGAACCCTAAGTCAAAGTTCCTTTCTTCCCTAGAAAACTACTTTTACTAGAAAATAAATTTGGGGATTATAGAACATTCCTTTCTCCTACCAAATAAAAATGTTAAGGTATTCATACTTTTTAAAATGAAACTTTCGAATTTAGTGTCAAATAATGGATACATGAAAGTTGCATATACAAGTGTGCGGAGTTTCAATACAGAAAGGTGGAAATTGACAAGAAATCTTTTCCATGCTTCCAATCCCATGAGCACATAGACAAACAGTATTTTCCGCTTCTAATATTTGAAACTTCGATTGCTTTTCTTCATTTAACATTATCTTTGGGAGATGTTTTTTCATATCAACTTAGGTTGGAGATTTTATTCATACTGGCTATTTTTCTATTCCTGCTCCCAATCATATTTTAATGAATTTTAAGCATTCTATACATTCTTTTAAGAGACTATAAAGCCAAGTTCGTGGAAGAGAACAACGCAGAGTCTCCTGCCCCACGCGTCGCTGTCCTCACCGGGGCCCCTTGGAGGGGGGCGGGTTGAATTTCATGTGTCTTCTCTAGTATCAGTCTTCTTTTGTATCAGCCCGTTTGACCCTCCTGCAATTGACAGGAGCGCGATGGGCCATTCACTACACTCTAAATCCTCACATCCCCCCACTCACCGGTCTCAGCACTCTGTGCACTTCCTGGAGGATGCGCTCCTGGCTCTCCACGGAGCACAGGACCAGGGTACAGACCACCACGTCCACGGAGCTGTCGGCCACCTGGTGCATGTTCTCCCCGGCAGCCACCACAAAGCGCTCAAACTGCAGGTGTCGGTTCTTGGCAATACTCTTGATCAGGAACTTCTCAAAGTTGGGATTGGGGTCCACACAAGTCACCCGGCAGCCGGGGGGATAGAACTGGAAGTTGGCCCCAGAGCCGCAGCCCACCTCCAGCAGAGAGAGCTTCCCCGAGGGGCCCGCAAACTCCTGCAGGCTGCTGAAGAGCTCCCGTTTCTTGCTCAGCATCTGCTCATTATACATCACAGTGAACCTCACCATGAAGTGGGGGAACCATCTTTTGCATAGCCAGTTCCACAAGCCCAGAAAATTCAGCAGGTACAAGGGAAATGCCAGGATGCAGAGGGCCAACCGGAGGATAAAGACGGTAATCGCCATCGCTCAGAAAGAGAAACAAAACCAAAAAAAAAAAAAGACCAGCAGTTACAGACCTGAATCCTTTAACTGCAGAGCAAAAAGGATCTGGCTGTGCCCAAACTAAGCAGCAGCTGAAGTCGGGCAAGGGGCCAGCTTCCCGCGGTTAATGCACAATTTGCATAAGCTGAGTCATAGTTTAGTTCTGCAAAGGAAAACGGAGGTTTTCCTCGGAAGGAAGGTTGATTAGCATCCCTTACTCAGTCCGAGCCCTCCTGGGACCGCTGCTAGCTACTTCCCAGGAGTGTCAGGCGCTCACACTCAGGATCCAGACCCGGATCCTCCCGCGTCCTCCCCCAGAAAATGTGTGGGCGGAGCCCGTTAAACTCCACCCAGAGGGAACAGCCAAGATCCTATGACTGACCGATTCCCGGGGCGTGTTTTTCAAAAAGGAAGCAAAAGAACGTTCCAGACCTGGTCACTGTTCACAGGAATTCCGCACTCTGCATTCCCATTCGAAACGCCCAAGAGGCTTCAGTCACCACCCACCCTTTAAAGGGCAAGTTATCTTCTCAAATTAGGACTCGACTCAGTTCATTTCAATTTCACTGAGTCCTTAGATATTCACATTCGGGAACCTAAACGCAGAAAATAGTTTCTGACATTCATCTTTTAGGCAAAAAGCCTGGGGGGGTCGTGGTGGTCAAGTGACACAGAAAAATTTCGAATTGATGGTAACCTTGACTTCTAAAATATTTGGCTGGTAAATTACCAGCGCGTGTTCTGTTGCTTCCTTATTTGTTATACTTTGCATATATTGTGAATAATTATAGACACTCCATTTTAAACAACTTTTGAGGCGAGAATGCAAAACAATAGACTACATACTTAAAGGGTAGGAATGGATGTTTTGACATCTGCAAACACTTTTAAAAGCTACATCATAATCAAAATAATATCCCCCACTTCTGCAAGCTTCCCCTTACTTCCTTGAGATAGCCATCCAGAGAAAGTCTTCTTCTAGATGTTTTCGGTCAGATAGGCATTCGGTTGCATTTCCATTGTATGGATATGGAGTCAAATATGTCCTTTCTGCCATGGCATCTTTTACTCAGCATTATTGATAATGGTAATAATTTATTTCTTATCCACTTAGTTGTGGATATCAAGTGATCTGGGGGAGGGGCTGAACTGTATATCACTGTAAGGGCATGTAACAGCTTAACAATATACCTATTACTAAACATCTGGTAAGCTTCTAATTTGGGGTTCATTCAATTTAAACTAATATAAGCATTCCTGCACCCCTTTTTTTTCCTCCCTGACAGACAATTTCCCCCATACTCTCCCTGCACCCCTTTATAATGGAGGATGTTAAGACTCTCCACCACAAAATTATTTAATTATTTACCCAATACCCATCAGATAAGGGATTAATTATATATGTATATATATGTATATATGTGTATATATATATATATATATATATATATATATATATATATAGCACTGGTAGAACTTTATTTAAAAAAAAAACCTCCAACCCCATCAAAAATGGGGGGAAGAAATGAACGGAAACTTCCTCAAAGAAGAAATACAAATGGCTAAAAGGCACATGAAAAAAAAATGCTCTTCATCGCTAATCATCAGGAAGTTGCAAATCAAAACAACAATGAGATATCGCCTTACATCACAGAAATTGGCTCACATCAAAAAGAGTAAGAACAACTAGTTCTGGTGCAGATGAAGGGAGAAAAGGGACTCCCATTCATTGTTAGTAGGAATGCCGACTGGCCCAGCCTTTTTGGAAAACCATATGGACATTCCTCAAAAAACTAGAAATTGAGCTTCCATATGACCCAGCAACACCACTTCTGGGAATATACCTCCGGATTGCAAAAACACACAGCAGAAATGACATCTGCACTTGTATGTTCATTGCAGTACCATTCACAATAGTCAGAATCTGGAAATAACCCAAGTGCCCAAGAACACACAACTGGTTAAAGAAACTATGGTACATGTACACAAAAAAAAAAAATTAGGAAAAAAAATGAAGTTTTGAAATTCTCTTATGGATGGACATGGAGAATATAATGCTAAATGAAATAAATCAGAAGAAGGACAGACAGAATAATTGTACTCATTTGTGGGATACAAAAAAATCACTGTCCTGTCCTCCCGTTGTTCATCGATTTGCTCGAGCGGGCCCAGTAACGTCTCCTTTGTGAGACTTGTTGTTACTGTGTTTGGCATATTGAATACGTCATGGGTAGCTTGCCAGGCTTTGCTGTGGGGGCGAGATACTCTTGGTAGCTTGCCAGGCTCTCTGAGAGGGGTGGAGGAATTGAACCCCGCTCAGCTGGACTGGCTGTGCAAGGCAAACGCCCTACCACTGTGCTATCGCTCCAGCCCACAAAAAATAGTTAGAGACTAACACCCAAGGACAGTAGAAACAAGGGCCAGGGTGAATGGTTGACAGTTGGAAGCCTGCCTCAAGGGCTGGGGAAGGGGTCAGTTGGGATAGAGAAGAAACCATTGCTGACAATGTTGGTTTGTAGGATAACACTGTTTTGCTCCAACATGGCGGGATTTCTGTACCCTCTTTAACCACAACAGTAAACACTAAGTACCAGCAAGTACCTCTTCCCAGCAAGTAGAACTTGCCACTTTGGTTTATCTACTCCCCCATGTGCCAGGGCCTGCTAAGATAGTCTTGGACTCAGCTTATGTGGTTGGTCTCTTCCTGGTATCGTGACTGCTTCTCTAAATGCCCCCAACCCTATAGTCCAACAATTGCTTCAGCAGCTACAAGCACTTTTACAAAAGCGCTCGGAACCTGTTTTTATTACTCATATCAGATCTCATTCTGGTCTTCCTGGACCTATGATTCGGGGAAATGAAGCTGCTGATCTCTTGGCGGCGCCAGTTTTTACCTCCGCGGAAGAGGAGCACCAAGTCTTACACACAAATGCCCGCCGTCTTCATGTTCACCATCGTGTCCCAATGCGGGAAGCCAGGCATATTGTCCGTGCTTGCTCCATTTGTGCTCCTTTCCACTGCACCTCCTATGTGGCTGGGGCTAATCCCCGAGGCCTACAGACCAATGAATTATGGCAAATGGACATTACTCATGTCACATGCTTCCCCAAGAAACCTTCCATGTAGCTATAGATATTTACTCTCACTTCCTATGGGCTGTTCCCATGTCTTCTGAGAGAACCAACACAGTCTGCTCCTTCCTACTACAGTGTTTTTCTATAATGGGCGTTCCCTCTGCTACTAAAACTGATAACGGCCCAGCCTATACTAGTAAAGCTTTTCAAAATTTCTGTGATGAACGGCAAATTAAGCACATTACTGGAATCCCATATAACCACAGGGTCAAGGCATAGTTGAGCATGCCCACAGAACCCTCAAAACACAGTTATTAAAATGCAAAAAAAGGAGGTATGCCTCCACTTGATTCCTTGTCCTTGACATTACTTTAAACTTCTTAAATTTGCCTCAAGGAGAGCCCTATACAGCATTAGAGAGGCATTTTCAGGAAGGTGCACAGACTCAGGAAACTATTAACTCTCCTATTTGGATTAAAGTTGACAAGGAATGGGTAGCAGGAAAACTCCTCATTCGAGGAAAAGGCTATACTTTTGTTTCAACAGATGATAACCTCATTGAGAAACTTTGGGTCCCGTTACGTCTCAGCAGGAGTAGAATTCATCCACCTGAGTTGGATCTTGGATCACCAGAGACTCACAACCCTTCAAATTTCAGCCCCAAGTCATCGGCAAACTGATTTCAGCTGGAAGTCACAAGGGACAGAAGAGGAGCCAGCATCAGAGGACCTAGAGCAAGGCCTCTAGCTCCTTTAACATCTCATGAGTTCACATTACAGCATTCCTTATACCCCTCTTTTACAGGTTGTGGATTGGACAACTGCCAGGCCTCCATTCACGGTCCTCCCGTTGTTCATCGATTTGCTCGAGCGGGCCCAGTAACGTCTCTTCCGTGAGACTTGTTGTTACTGTGTTTGGCATATTGAATATGTCACGGGTAGCTTGCCAGGCCAGGCCTCCATATTTTGAATTAACAATTCTTTACTCTTTCCCTTTCCTTGGAATTCACAGGTTCCTGAAGGAGAAAGGAATGACTTGACAGGAACACCTTTTCCTTTTTCTCCAAGATATCCATTTGTATTGGAGCTTCCCTCTGTCTCTTTCTCTACCCCCAGACATGGGGACCAAACCCTGATGGGCAAAGCCTCTGATAACTTTTTAAAAAGTGCTTTTCTCAAACATAAGCTAGGTTGCACATCTATGACTGCTGATGAACCTGACCAGAGAATGGCTGCATTCCTCTGCTGAAGTACTCCTGCCCAGAAGCTGTGATGCTCCTGTTCCAGTGCTCCCCGACTGGACCAGTGCTTCCTGAAATTTATTGGACTCCTAATAGTTACTCCCCTGGGATTCATTGTTGCAACCACTCCTGATGCTGTTGCAGGAACACCTCTTCAGTTTTGATCCAGACACTTCATTTCTTCAGAATGGGACTAAATGACTCTCATCATTGGTGACTCTTATCACCCCTGGACAGTGCAGGAAAATCGGACGCTTTACTGCAAGCACTGCTCTGGGTCCAGAGTTGGACTGAAATCTAATGAGACTGCTTTGTATTTGGAATTGTTCCTCTGTCTCAAATTTTGTGGTTTTTTTTGTAAAAAGAAAAAGGGGGAGATGTAGGATAACACTGTTTTGTCCTTCCTCAGGCAGTTTAGGTTTATCTGGTCACACCCATCCCAGTGCTCCCGAGTCACTCCCATTCTTTTGTTTATTTGTAACTACTTCTCTATGCTCTCTTCCCCAAACAGTTAATCAGCTTATTCCTCTAATCAGTTTCTATTAATTTGTAAGGTCAGATCTTTCAAGGACACTGAACTTATATTGTAAATTAATATTGCCTTTCTCCTCTCCTTATGTCTTTTGAATGGTTTACTTTATTTTATTTTATTTATTTATTTATTTTTTTGCTTTTTGGGTCACACCCGGCGATGCTCAGGGGTTACTCCTGGCTCTGCACTCAGGAATTACTCCTGGCGGCGCTCGGGGGACCATATGGGATGCTGGGAATCGAACCCGGGTCGGCCATGTTGGCTGCGTGCAAGGCAAATGCCCTACCCGCTGTGCTATCGCTCCAGCCCCGAATGGTTTACTTTAAAGCAATGTCCTTTTGTATCGACACAAGAAGACAATTAATATTATGCTATTGTAACACGGGATTTAATTGGCTTTGAATATTATTCACTCCCGGGCATCTGCTCTCTCAACTTAAGCCTCAGTTGCCCTCACTTCCTA